TATTTATTATTATTTATTTTATACTCATTGATGAAGAACAGATTCTTTAGTATTGGGTAATGACCTTTACCTATTTATACATGTTCTTGACAATTAAAATGCAAAAATTATAATTAAAAAGACTTAATTGTCCTTAACGAATAAAATGTAAGAAAATGCAACCAAGCATTCAAATGGGTGGATTTTCACTTTTTCTCTTGTATATTCGACTATTTTTATCATTTTCCACACTTACTGCAACCCATTCTGAAGAAATGGCGGAGAAAGAGAAGAGTAGCCTGAGGAAACCTCTCAGTCTGAACGACAGCCATTATCGCCTTCTTCAGGACCTCTCCGCTGCTCCAAAACCTAATCCTGGTACTTTTTCTCTTTCGCTTTCTACTTTCCTTTTCCTTGTTTAAATCTGAGTCTAATTTCGAATGATTTTTCTGCTTTTTATGGGTGATTGTTGATTTTGATAAACGTCGTTTCGTAGAGGAAGAAGAGATGCCGCAAAAGACGAAACTCCCAGGCCGACGCCGTCTTTGCAAAGCGTCGTGCAAAGGAAACGCCAACGACGGCGACGATGGTATTCCTCGCTTCTCTGGGATCACTGATTTCGATGATTCTCCATCTAGTACTCTTTTCGATTCACCACCACCAACTAAAAGTAGTGGGGAGGGTGGAAATGAAATTAGGGATATTCTAAATGGCTTGACTTCGAGACTTGAATTTTTGTCTATTGAGAAAGTTCCTAAAAAGAATGATCAGATTGATGAATCTTTGGCTTTAACCGAAAATGGAGTAAAAATTAAGAACAAGAAAGTTGATTCGCCTGGATATGCATGTGCTGGATCCTTGTTTTCTCTTATGTCTAATAATCTATCTGATTCCTCATTAGATGGTGCTAAAAATGGTGGAAGTGGTGTTTATGTTTTTAGTGAGTCCAGAGATGAGGAATTTGTTGATAGGGTACTTAAGCTTGATGAAATCAGTAGTTTTGGGCTGAAGCAGAAAGGATCAAAACTTGTTGATGGAGAATTAGCTTCTGGAACTGAAGAAGGTGCTGATGATAATGATGATTTGCAGAGTGAGCAGAGGGACAATGCTTTTCTGGGTAGGGTACATGATGTAGAGAAAAATAATCAAAGGCTGAAGAAAGGTGAACATGTCCAGGAATCGTTTGTGTCCAGGGTCAGAAAAGAAGAGGAACATGGTAGTCGTGATGACTGTGTTGTTTTAAGTTTTAAGAAGTCAGTTAAAGCTGTAAGGCATGGGAATGGCTTGAAGTATGGTAGCTCCACGGCAGAACTGCTGGATGATTATACCGAGGAGTCTATTTTGGAGGATGAGGGGTCCATTAATTTGAGGGGTCCTAAGGCAAGTTACAAGCTACAGGGTAAAATTGCTAAAATGTTGTATCCACATCAGCATGAGGGGTTGAAGTGGCTCTGGTCTTTGCATTGTCAAGATAAGGGAGGAATCTTAGGGGATGATATGGGCTTGGGGAAAACCATGCAAGTAAGGAAACACATGCAGAATCTGTTCTTGTTTTTGTTATTAATAATGTTACCACTGCCACTTGTAATGTTGATTGATTCTTTTTTCTGTTTTGATAGATATGTAGCTTCCTAGCTGGATTATTTCATTCGAGGTTGATTAAAAGGGCATTGGTTGTGGCCCCCAAAACTCTACTTCCTCACTGGATCAAAGAATTGTCTACTGTGGGGCTTTCAGAGAAGACTAGGGAGTGAGGCTATGTGACTCCAACCTTTTGATATTAATATATCTACCCTGCTGTTAAAGGCAGGTATCTGTTTGTTTTAGTGATGACCTATTTGTCTTTTTTTCAGGTACTATGGAACTAGTACCAAAGCTCGACAGTATGAGCTCCAATATGTACTTCAGGTTTAAGATATTTATTAGTTCCTATCCTATTATGGTCATTGATTTATTACCTAATCAAAAAGTACATGATTTCATGTCTGTATATGTATCATATGTGTAATCAAATAGTATAACAACTAACAAGGCATCAACATTGAGGAACTTCTTTTTTTCCAAGGTTCAAAGTTTTAAAGATGGTTCTACTCTGTTCAGACTCACAATAGAAAGTAGTTTCTTGAAAGTAATCATGTAGGTATTTCTTTTGACGTTAACATCGTGCATCATTTTACATCCATTGTAGTTCTAGATATAATTCTCTCTCCGTCACTATTGCATGCCATGGTGATTAAATTGTTAATATTCTATTTTTTTTATAACTTCCACCTTGAGCAGGATGAAGGAATTCTTCTCACTACTTATGATATTGTGCGGAATAATTCTAAAGCTTTACAAGGGGCAAATTGCTACATTGATGATGACAGTGAGGATGGTGTGACATGGGACTATATGATTCTTGATGAGGTAGCTAATTAATGCAATTTGTAGATGAAAAATTTGTAAACTTAGAGCTTTGATTGCTTAAAAAGGGTACGCAATTACAACTAGATTTGCATAGATCAGGGGATTTGTAATTATCCTTTGAGGGTTTTGCCTCTTTGAGTTGTTTTACTAGCTTACAAGCTTTTTCCTCTATTTACTTATTTCCAGTGTTCTCAAAAGCAGTTGCTTCACTGCTTAAAGTGATGAAGCGAAAAGAAGCGGTCTCAAAGTGATTGAAGCAAAGTGAAGCGATAAAAGCACTCTGATGTTGAGGCGATTGCTTCTTTAAAATGACACAAAATTACAAAAAGGTGTAGAAGGCATTAAGGGTTTAAATTGGAATTTTGACTCCAATTAGGGCAAAAATAGGAAGCTCTGTGCCTGCCAACTACCTCTTCCCCTAATTTTCTTTGTGATTCCATTGTCTTTTGATTTCATCATCTTCTTGAGTCTTGACTTCCTCAATTCATCTGCCATTTACAGGAAAGTCCTTTCTTGTTTCCCTTTTTTTTTTTTTTTTTTTTTTTTTTTT